AAAAAAAAAAAAGCTATAGAGTAAAATAAGAATTCCAAAATTGCCAGAAAACTTCCAAACAGATGAGAGAAAAAAAGTGGTGAGTAGGAAAAAAAATTATATAAGTAAAGTTATAAAAGAAATAAGTTATAAAATATATTGTTGTATGACACTCCGAAAAACCTACATAAATAGAGAGACGATGCGGCTCACTAAGAATTAAGCATTAGATGTTGGAAAAATTAAGTCTAAAGTAGAGAAATATTGTTGGAAAAAGTTGAATGAACTTGTAACATAAGGTTTAAAAGTTTGAAATCGTGTACTTGTGTTCATGTTATAAGAGTCTCATTAAGTTTTAACTTAATAAACTATTAATGAACTATTTATTAATGTGCCTTATCTTATAAGGTTTGTCTTCATGTTTTGAAAAAAAAAAGAAAAAATACGAGACCACGAAAGGAAAACACAACAATCATAAAGCCTTTTCCCCCATTTTTTTTAATTGTCTTGGTCCAGGCATAGTTCCAGTTTCGAGATTTGTTTCAGTTCTTCCGTTGTATCCTGGGAAACAGACGCTCATACGGGGCGAATCTGTTTTAAGGACACTGTGTTCTCACAGGCCTCGATATTTGTTATATAGCCATCTTATTTTTATTTTCCCGTTAAAGTTCTCTACAATCTTAAAACAAATTCTGATTAAAGATGGTTGCTGAACAAAATACTATTGGCGTTGCTAATACCGGTGTTGCTACTATAATTTCTATTTCTCCTTCTGTTCCAGTAAATCATGCTAATAAACCGAAAAAAATTAATGGCTTGAGTTTCAAGCGCTGACAGCAAAAGATGCTGTTTTATCTCACTACGTTGAACCTTGCGAGGTTTTTTATAGAAAATCCACCAAAGTTGGGGGAAAATCCGGATATTCAAGCGGTTAGTGCACTTGATGCATGGAATCACTCAGATTTCTTATGTAGAAATTATGTGATTAACTGTTTGGCTGATACACTGTACAACGTGTACAATTCTATCAAAACAACAAAAGAGCTGCGGGAGTCTTGATAAAAAATATAAAACCGAAGACGCTGGGCCTAGAAATTTCTTGTAGGCCGGTTTCTGGACTACAAGATGGTTGACTCGAAGACTGAAATCAGTCAAGTGCAAGAGCTTCAAATAATCTTGCATGATATCCATTCCGAAGGAATGATGGTGAATGAAACTTTCCAGATGGCTGCCATAATTGCAAAGCTTCCACCGAGCTGGAAAGATTTTAAAAATTATTTATTGCATAAGAAAAATTAAAGAGATGACCGTTGAAGAGCTCGTTGTTAGACTTCGAATTGAAGAAGACAACAAGGGCTACGACAACAAAATGGTTAATCCTCATTTTGCCAAGGCTAATGTTGTTGAGCATGGCGAAAGCTCAAACAAAAATAATAAGAAAAAAGCTGGCAATAATGGAAAGGCAATAATGAGGCCAAAGAAACAAATTTTCAAGAAAAAATTTTCTGGAAATTGTTATAATTGTAATAAACCTGGTCATAAGGCATCTGATTGCAGGTTGCCAAAGAAAAATCAAGAAGCCCACATGGTGGAAAATCTGGCCAAAGATGTTAATGAGATGCACCTCGCCGCAGTTATATTCGAGGTGAATCTAGTAGACTCAGATCCACATGAATGGTGGATTGACACGGGTGCTACCCATCATGTTTGCTCAAACAAGAAATTGTTTAATGTCATTGACGAGACGAGGGATGGAGAAAAGCTCTTCATGGAAAATTCTGCCACGTCTGACATCAAATGAGTGGGGAAAATGGTACTGAAGATGACATCTGCAAAAGAGTTGACTCTTAATAATGTTCTTTATGTACCAAAAATTTGCAAGAACCTTGTGTCTGGTTCTTTGTTGATCAAACATGATTTTCGTGTAGTGTTTGAATCTGATAAGGTCATTTTGACTAAAAATGGAGCATTTGTAGGGAAGTGTTATGAATGTAATGGGATTTTTAAGCTCAATGTGATGACTATTAATAAAAATGTTAATCCTTCCGTTTATATGCTTGAGTCTTCCATTGTGTGGCATGGTAGACTAGAACATGTCAATTATAATACCCTGCGCAGATTAATAAAATTGAAAAACATGCCTATGTTCCATATTGATTCAAAACATAAGTGTGAAACTTGTGTTGAAGCAAAATTGACACTGAAGTGAATATATTTCACCCGGGCTCCTTCAATTCGATCGGCCTCCGTACCTGCAAGAACCCAATGCCGGGGTGGCCCCGACGTCGGGCCTCCGATGCCTAAGTCAGTGCTCAGATCAAGAGAGAGAGTGTAGTAGAGAATTGAATAGAGAATGTGAGAATGAGATACCTTGCCCCCCTTTTATAGGGGGAGTGTACCTTTTGGGCCCAAGTTGGGCTTGAGCCATATCGTTATGCTTAGATGTCTTAGTGGGCTTATCCTCCAATATGTATTCGTTTTCTCCAATAAACCGGGTGTAGTATAATATCATATATCATCTAGTCCCCCCACTCTGGTTGACTAAGCATAACTCGATCCAAGAGTGAAATGTCTCTTCGAGCTGCTTCCGCCAACCTGTCACTAAGGTTATAGTTTGAATAAGTTCTCGATCGCCGAATAATCATAAGACTTCCAAATGAGCACCGGGAGACCGTAATGGATCGAAAATCGAATGAACATCCACTGAGATAAATAATTGAAGGACCTTCAACAGAGGTCGAAAAACTGAAAGCCAAAAGCCGAATGACAACTGAGGTCGAAAACCAAGAACGGGGAGACCGCTGAGATCGAAAACTGAAAATCGAATAATTGTCGATGTGGTCAAAAGCTAAAAATTGAGAGACCGCTGAGGTCGGAAATCGAAAACCGAGTAATCGCCGATGAGATCGAAAGCCGATAATTGAGAAACCGTTGAGGTCGGAAATAAAAAACTGAATAATCGTCGCTGAGGTCGAAATCAGAAATCGAGAGACCATTGAGGTCAAAATCTGCGAACCGAGAGACCGTTGCGGTCGAAAACCAAAAATCGAGAGACCATTAAGGTCGAAAGCCAAAAATCGAGAGACCCTTAAGGTCGAAACCCGAGAACCGAAAGACCGTTGCGCTAAAAAACTGAGTACCGAGAGACTGTTGCGGTCGAAAACCGAAAATCGAGAGACCATTAAGGTCGAAAGCCGAAAATCGAGAGATCCTTATGGTCGAAAGCCGAGAACTAAAAGACCGTTGCGGTAAAAAACCAAGAATCGAGAGACCGCTGAGGTCGAAAGCCGAGAACCAAGAGACCGTTGCGGTCGAAAGCTGAAAATCGAGAGACCACTGAGGTCGAAAACCAAAAACCGAGTAATTGCCGATGAGGTTGAAAAACAAGAATTGAATGACTACTCCTTGAAGTCTTTGATGTTCATCATATTTTCATGCATTATGAGTGATATAATGTGATGTTTGACCGTGTTTATTGGGGGATTGCGCACCATTTCGTTAGATTTATTAATCTATGATAGAGGTATATTTGTCGTTGGTGTTGTAGGAAACATGCCCAAAAAAGCGTTCAAGATGGAATCAGGACGAAAAATGGCGAAAATAAGGTGCAGGCAGGGTCACACGACTCGTGTTGTATGTGACACGAGTCGTGTGAGGTGAGAAAAATCGAGCTCTTGTGAAGTTTTGACACGGCCTTCCCCCACGAGTCGTGTGGCCCATGACACGAGTCGTGTGGGCTCACACGACTCGTGTGACGTCTCGTGTAGGTCAGTCTTGTGAGTCTGGAAGCGGGGCAGAAATTCGAAGAAAGTCACACGACTCGTGTGGCTAGTGACACGACTCGTGTGACGCGCAGACAGTCCAGCGAGAATTAGGAAACCTACGCGATTTTGTCCCTTTTTCAAGCCATATTTACCCTACAGTATATAAGGAACATAAGGAACACGGTTTGGGGACTTTTGACACCATTGGAGGCCTAGGGAAAGCACGAAACACACGAGGGATTCGAGGAAGTCAAGATTGAAGATCCGGGAACTAACGGCGACAATAGTTCTTCTTTCTTTTCTCTTTTTCTTCTTCATTGAACTCATAGATTTATTTATTTTGAGTATTGAGAATATGTTTAGTAGCTAAATTTCTTTGAGATTCTAGGATTTGCGAGTACTCGGATTATTTTATGAAGTGATTTTGTTTATTCATTCCGGTCTATCTTTCGTTTATCTATTTCTTGTGCTTATTATTATTGTGTGAGTAGACGGCCGCTATGAATGCATATTTGTAATTGATTTGAGACCGAGAGGAGATAATTGATTGCTAGAATTGGGAAATTCATAACGTAAGAGACTAAATAGACCGAGAGGTTGATAGAATCTTACGAGGGAACTAGAATCTTAGGAGCTTATGGGAGTTAGTTGTTCATCTTGAGACCGAGAGGAGATAGATAGCAATTAATATCTACGATTTAACTTGTTCGAGAGAAAGGTGTAAATTACTTTAGCGATTAT